TTAAGTGAAGATAATTTTTTCCATATATATTACGTACATTATTATATACAAGAGAAAATTAGACAAAACAAAACTAGAACAAAGATTCTTTGAAGTTTCAAAAGAATCTTTGTCTATCTTAGCCATAGGGATGGCTTAAGCAAAGCTCCACAGATGAGGCAATGAATGAGGCGACGGATGCATCAAAGGCATCTCACTCGTAATACACCATTTAGCCAAAGCAGTACTAAGACCACGCAAAGGACGTGCTGACACCAACATCACTCTTCCTACAGCAGAAGAGGTCCACAGATCTTACCTTCTCCTGACATAGTCAGGCACAGGTCCACCTCTCCTTGTGCCCTACCAGTAGCTCTGTCACTCTGACCAGCGGAGCCGCTGTTACCCAGGGCTGTGCTCACACCTGTGATGGCACCGTGCCATCACGCCCCAGCACGCACTGGCACTCTGCAAGATGGTCTCCACCAAAGCTCACCCCATAACGTTTCCTGCGGCAGTGATTGCCAAGACCAAAGACTTTGCTTCCTAGAGACCTCAGTGATTAGAAGGGTGTCTCTAATTAAACCCCCTTGGACAGAACTGGCAGCTCCTTTCTTTACTGTTCACCTGCTTAGCGCTGGAAGCAAAGCTCCACATCATCTCCATGCCATTGCAAGAAGCAGGAGAAGTCTTCTGCGCTGGGGGAGAGGGCATCCCACGGGCCCAGCTCTCCTGCAGCGGTGGAAAGTGCTGACCTCAGAGGGGTGAGAGGAAGCCTCGTGTCACAGCGGACCCGCAGGTCAATGCCAGGAAGGGGAGAAGAATGGAGCAGGCTTCCCGTGAGGTTCAGGCACAGGGCAGGAAGGCAGATATTGTCTCCAAGGCCCGTCTCTTGCACAGCACGTTAAACAGCACCTTCCACCTCTCTGCATCCAAAGTCACACAGGGCCAGCTCCCCCCTGCCCAGGGCAGCTGGTGGCCAGAGACTATCCACCACCACGCTGGCCGAGGGTGACAGGCAGCAGGGCAGCAGAGAGGAACAGAGAACATGGGGATGGTCTTTCAAGGGTACAAGGGTACTTTTCTCATCTAAAGTAAAACCCAGGAACACCCCCATCCTTCCCAGATCTGCTTTGCCTTTCCCTTCCTGATGCTCCCCCCCGCCCCGCCCCTGGGCCCCATCCCATGTCTCTCCTTTGCATTTCGTGGGAACTTTCCCCAAAACACACTGTTTTCCCCTCACTTCCTTCCTCTCAAGACACCTGGAACTTCCTCCTGCCACCCCTCATGGTGACAGGGGCCAGACCACACCAAAACAATCACACACACAGCACAGGGCTGCTGGGGTGACACATTTGGAGACAACACAACTACGGGTACAAGGGCTTTTACGTACTGGAGATGACAAGTAACTTATTTCAGTGAAAACAGCCTGACATATTTGAGGAAAAACAGAAGCAGCAACTACCAGCAAGGACTCCTCCAGAAAGCTGTAGGGGAAGTATTTTCCATCATGAAACATGTAATGAATTGTATTTGAAATTCATGTTTTGACATCTCAAGCTGTTAGTAGAAGCTCCTTGCTTAAAAGAGTCAGTTTTGCATGCAATAAGCAATGCAGCACAGAAACAAAAGGAAATAAAAAAAATCCTTTCCAGCTTCAATGCCAATTTAAAAGTCATTGGGAGGCAGCCAATATATTTCGGGAAGGTTTTTAAACTCCCTCTTGCAAACCAAGAGATGCCTCAACAAAGACCTGCGCGCACAGCAAACGCCACGCACCTCAACTCCAACTTCATGCTTTCAACACGCTGAATTTTAAAAGCTTGAAATAGTTTCAGTTTTACCTGAACCTCTCCCATTAAATCTGCACTGAGAAGCACAAAGCTTCATCCTGCTGAGAGACTGCACGGGGAAGCTGAGGTCTATGCAATGCTCTGCTACACCAACCTGTTTCTGCTACGGTGTTCCCTTGATTCAAGAAGCCATGCAAACACACAGCTTTGCTGGCTCGCTGGACGTGTATTTGTAAAATAGAAGTTGCATAAATACATTTAACATAAATGGTGGACTCCATCTGAAAGCCAGTCCCCCAGGGCAGACTGTATTATATTGAGATCAAAGCCCAAGACAGTGCTTCTCACTGATGGGCCCGCGTTCAAAGTGTGATGCGTGATTATCACCAACTGTTGAGGTTCATTTCTCCCACTCTAGAGTTCTGTATGCTCTGGAGCAGGGTTAATCACGTTTAATGAAATCAGCCCTAGATCCCACTTCTCCAAACCCACCAGAATCCACATCACAGTAAATCATCTTTGCCCGTGCCCTGCAGAGAAAGCCACCGAGTTACAAGCTGGAGGCAAGGCCATTATGTCTGCCCGAGTCCGTAGGCAGCTGCCACTCAATGATGGGGCAGCAACAGCTACAACCAGTGGAAAGCGGGTCCACTTGACTCCAAGACCTCCATAAACACAGTGCAGAACCTGAGCTGCTTCTGAACAGGTAAGCTACCTGCGTACAGGATGTGGATAGCCACAGATCTCTGAAGGTTTGGCTTTCACGGTTCAAGGATCCTCTTTTTACTTCTTTTCAGCTTCATTAGTCAGAACCAGGAAGGGTGAAGCAGTGGTGTCCCTAAGCAGCACTGACAGGACATGACTCTACCATGAGTCATCATCCTCTTTCTCCTCAATTGGAGAAGGCTGCTCGCACCTGGATCACCGGACACCTGTGGTAATACTCATCAGGACAAACAGACTGCTTTCCAAGCTTGCTCGTCAGAGGCTGCAGGAAGCAACCTTCAAATTAAACAGTGACAACTTTATATTTTCACAGACCTTCAAAACCAAAAGGACTGAAGACCTCCAATATGTGCTCAAAATCTAATGAATAATATAGTCATCTTCTGATGAAGCACCTGAGCCAGCAGGATCTAGCAAAAGCCCTATTTACAGTCTAATAAATTAAGACGTTAACACATACAGCTGCAGAATACGACTAAATACCCAATTACTGTTCTTTATTTTAGAATAAAAAACTTACCATGTTTTAAAACACTCCAGTGAAATGTATTTAATGGGAACTGGAAAACATTTACAGTAAATGAACACCACTGTTACATGAGCCTGTGTGCATTTGAGTCGAACTGAGGTGCCTCAGTTGAGAAAGATCTCTGCCAGTAGAGTAGTCTCATCTTCTATCTCCATATACATCACATCAAAGGCTTCACCGATGAATCTCCTTGTCTAAGGGCAGTCAGGAGCAAAGACGCCCGGCAGACCCACGTTCCAAGCAGATGCAACATCCTACACGCCTGACAACACAATTCAGTTCTCACCAAAGAAATATCCCAGCAGCACTTCTGCTGGAATTATTGCAGTATTTGTTTCTTAATTACTGGGGGAAGCATCAGTTTGGAGCAAGTAATTTTTTACCAATCCCGCTAGATTTGAAATGAGAAAGTCTATGTAAGTCAACAGAGTTATTTCGTTTTTCCTATTTCTCTAAGTCTCCACCTCAACAGAGGCATGGATGTGCTAAGGAACACCCTCGCTCACTGCATAAGGAGTCTTTCACATAAATAATAAAGGAGATTGCTAATAATTTGTTATTGGTTGGGACATAACTAAGGAAAGTATAAGTATGATCCTTCCCTGCAGGTGCACCATGGCAGCAATTTCAATTTTACTGTTTAAAACAGATGGATGACAGCCCTTTAAATCTGAAAATATTGGGAACAAGGGAAGAACCACAGTTGAGAGAAGCCTGCAGAGACGACGTACAATTGCTGCAGCAGGTAACACACAGACACCAGCACCTGGCCAACCCAAGTCTGCAAGTGCAATTAAAAAAAAAAATCACTGTGAAGTTGCTGCAGGCTACATTTTCATACACAATAATTATGAAGTGGAAAAAACTAAGTAATAAACGTCTATTACAATGCCCAGCTACAGCTGGATTACAGTCAAGTTCTGCAACAGAAAAGCTGCCCATCAGCTGTGTCAATCAATAGAAAAAGCAAACGCCTTTAATATCACACCTGACCAGCCTCTAATATTGACACGGAATCTTTAAGAACGAACAAACCTTTTTGCTCACCCCTTTCCCCTATAGCATTACTCAGAAATCAACTAATTCAGTGCTTCTCTCCTTGGTCTCAGATAAAGCGTTCTGTGCCAGTACGTGGGAGCCAGGAATTTGAGACCAAGTCAGTGGTAGATGTTAGGTGTGACCTCTGCTACCAACAGCATCCCATGAAGAACAGACAGACAGACATATTCAACACTTTTTTGGGGGGGATTTCTTTTTCCTGTTGTCCTCCTTTGAGGATGCATCTAATGCATCTGATAGAATGTTTTAATGTTAACTCTGATTTTAACTTTTTAAACAGAGAAACAGGAGAGAGGCAGGTTACCTAGGCTCTGACACCAGGATTTAGCACAGCCTGGAGTGAAACCACACTTGCTTAATCTACACCCTGGGGGTGGATCCAAACCACACAGCAAACAGGGAGGAGACTCCCCTTCCTCAAAAGGCTCAAACTTGCTGAAAATTACGTAAATGACTCAGTAAATGTCCTTCTCCTGAGTCAGCACGGAAGCAGGGCTCCAGGATTGCATCTGATTCACTGTGCAGGTTAAAGACTGTGGGACTGTTGGTTGGTTTTCTTAAAGGATGATCTGTGAATGATACCCTGGTGGTCACTAACAAACTCATAACCATTGCACAAACCAAGGTTACACTCACACCCCGTGCTCCAGCCCTTCTCTCCCAGGGTCTGCAGGCAGAGCTGCTGCAGCAGCACGGATTCACCACACCACACAGGGGCAGAAAGGTCATATGGCTATGAACACTGTTTGTACAAAGTAAACAGGTAAGTAGATTCCAATTTTAAAATAAGTTTTAATTGATTTCATTAACTAGTAAGTTCTTCTGCAGTAAAACAGTGTGTCATGTTATTTGGATATTGTGGAGTGCTGAAATTTGGAGTTAGGCTGAATGAAAGACTATGTACATCCAGATCAGCTTTTGGTTGTGTTGTAAATTTATTCTTATAATTTTTACCATTTATTCATCCCAAAAGACATATTGCATATTTGGAACATTTTTAAATAAGAGCCACTATATTATCCAAGACAAGTAGTTTTGTCACATCAAAACTGATGACATACCCAATAAAAGTATTTTCCAGAGCAAGAACTCCTTACAAGAAATATAAATAGAATATAAACTTCATAAATGATCTAGCACAAAGATTAAAGTAGTAAATCCATCCCATACTGAAGGCAGTACTTCCCCACTCAGAGTATGCGTGTGATATTTCTTTAAAACAAAATAATCCATTTCCTAACAGAGGGCATGGAAACAAATACAGACTAACTTCTGGATAAATGTTATTCCAATAGAGCAGAATGAATCGATCACTTTACCCTTTTCTCTCAAGTTACTGATTAATATTATCAGGTAAGAAAAAAGTTACTTTTAGTGTAACCCAAGCTCTTGATTTGTTTGTCTTCATCAGATATGATGAAGAGACAACATGCTCGGAAGCGCATCTACAGATTCAATATATCACCTGACATAATAAAAGAATTACATCTCCATTCTAACATCTCCATTCCCATAGTTGAGAATTATTGGAGAACCTCAATTACCTCTCCATCCTCCTGGCTGCCCAACGCAAGTAATCATGACCTATCTTACCACATGCAAGCGCAATCTCCGAACAGCAATGTAGACACATGCACACACACTCTCGGTGCGTTAGAAGTGTTACATTTCCAGTGCTGGGAATAATGCTGACCCAAATCGAGTAAACTGAAAAATTTAAACGTAGTCACATGAATAATTTAGAATTGCCTTATAGAGGGAAGCAGCAGTAACAGGCAACAATGTGATGGGGCTGAGGGAAGAGAGTAAAATGTATTATCTTGGAAAAAGGACTGGTTTTGCTTCCCTGTACGATCTAAGCAAATCTATGGGAAGCAATCAGTACAGGATTCAAGAACATATAAAAATTTATGCCTGTCAAAACATTTTAAAATAAAATTTCATTTCTGTAAGTTTTAAAAAATATGAGTAAGTATTGGTGCTATTAGACCAAGACTTCTGTAAATCATTTAACATTCCAATAAAAGCAGTCACTACACTACTGTCACTGAAACTAATAATCCAGATTAAAAAACAGCTGACTTTGCGAACACTAAGTGAAGGAATTACTCTATGAATGTTTTCCCTGTTGTCCTGCAGGGATCTGGTTTTGGCTCACTACTGTCCAACACTGTGCGATCAATAATCTACAAAAGCTTTGTTAGTCATCCCTGTTAACACCTGAAGGGAGGAGAAACATACCCACTGATGAAGTGCTGACCAGTAACAGGCTGGGAACAGACTGCTGCCCTGGCCTGGTTGCCTGCAGCGGTTTTTAACGAACAATATTGCAAAGTCAGATACCACAGGGCTGGGGCGATGCAAGGAATGCACAGATTTGATTCACAAGATTAAAATCCAAATGCGAGAAGTCAGTGAATCCCCAAAAGGGTTCTGGTAGCCAGCCAAGTAAGCAGAGCAGAGCAGGATATAAAGCTTATTATCTATTTATATGATGTAAGTAAAGTCATTAATGTAAGGACATGTTCTGTTCTGGCATCTACTCTTCAAAAAAAGAACATTTAGAAAATTAGAAATAGTTTAAAAAGCTGGCAACAAAAACTAGAGGGATGAAGAAAAAAAAATAAGAAATTCAATCCATTCATATAAAGTAAGATTGGAAGGTATTTTGATCATGGTATGCCAAATCCCTGAATAAGGACAATATTTGCAGCAGTAGAACATCCTCCAAGAGAGATATATTGAAATCCAGTGGTTGGGAGCCAAAGCGAGTGGGTTGGGGTTTGTTTCGTTGGCTTTTCTGAGAGTGCAGTAGCTGCTCAAGTAACTTACCTACAGAGGCAACCAATTTTTTTTCTGAACTTCTTCAAGGAAGACTTCTTTTTTTCTAAAATAGATACTTAACTGCTTGACATTATGCTTCTGATGTTGAAATCAGTCTGTGAAGTTTTATGACCGCGATATCCAGAAAAGCAACCAGATCTGAGTTTCTTCTGCCTTTACCAACAACTGGAAACATTAGTCTCTGATGCCTTTGTTTCAATTGCTAGTTTGCCTTCTACTTCTGGGAGCCCTTCATCCAATGCTGAGAGCACCCACTGTTTTTAAAACAGTAGCAGGTGCAACCTTCCCTCCAAGCAGAAGATCCTGGCTCTGTGGACAAACCTTTGCTCATTAATTTGAATGAGTCGGCATGAACTAAAAACCCAGGAAGGCAGGAAGAACTGGGAGACCCACAGTGCAGCCCAATTCCCCACCGAGGAGAAAGAAAGGAATTTTGTGTCCAGAAGCACATGCCAAGAGGGACTGGGATGAGTAAATCGGCTGGATCTGGGGAATTCAATGCAGCTGTTTGCTGGAAGCAATCACCTCTCAAACAGATCCAGAAGTATACGCACGAGAGAGAAGAAGATAATATGGCTTCTAATTCTTGCATATGATCAATTGCTATATTAATGGAGACTCAAAATCTTGAGACAGTTGCTAATGAGATACTAATGGTGGATGAAAAGCCAGAGGGGGAGAAAAGGCCCCTGGTGGAAAGCAGCCAGCCCTGGTTGCAGAGCTAGTGCAAACTACAGTGGCTTCCCAAAAGCCGTTGTGGTGACCTGGTGTTTTAAAGCACTCAGATGCTGCTGGTGGAATGAATCAGCAGTGGATTTGTCATGGAGAAGATGCAAGCTGAAGAAATGACTCTTGCAAGTGGTAGAACCCTACAGATTAAGGCAGGAGACATTCAAAATCTTATGTAAAGCACACTGAAAATTTGAACAAGTTACATGTTTCAGAAGGCTTGATTAGAGAAAGAAAAATAACGTAGGAATATATCCCAAAAATACATGCACAGATGATCACCTTTGCTTCAGCTGTCAGTCATTTGATACTAACCCTCACTAAGACTGTTTTATGATAAAACTTTGCAATAGATTGTGCACGCTCACAATTCTCCATTTAGCACCAAAAAAAATCCAGAGATTCTGTAAGAAGGATCAGGCTAAGACTCTGGAAGAACACATTTAATTCAGCTACAAGGAACAGGAAAAACACACTATATTTTTTATATATTTTATAGTTATATTTTTAAATAAAAGGCCTGCTGTTGTAGTACCCATGTAGGTAGAATTCTTTCAGAATTTTAAAAAAGGTGCTTCAGTCAGGAGACCGGGACAAAATTGAAGAATTTTATTATATTAAGTCTTCCAAATTGTCAACTGATAAAACAACTCTCAGACTAATTTTTCTAGTTTGAGGAATCTTTTTAAAACCTCAAACTTCAGTGCATGCTCAGAGCACTTACTTTACAAGTAAACTTAGAGCATCTTACATGTTTGTGGAAAGCTGCTCTTGTTACAGTAACTCCAAGGCTTAGCTAATCAAGCCTCACAACTAAGAAGAAAGAACCTAAATATGAATGTAAAAGAGCACACATATTTACTATAAACAAACTCAACAAGAACCAGAGAAGTTTGTGCACAGAATGCTTGCAAAATAATTCCACTCACTGCTGTACTATCAAAGCGCTGAAGAACAGCAGCTTCCCAGTTATCCATTCCTTCTCCAGGGATTCTCACAACAAAAGAGTGAACTGTGCATTTTACCTCATTCTTGATCATTTTGAACATGCAAATGTCAAGAGCTCCTGGTAAAGGCACTGTATTAGGGAAGTGCAGGTACACCTGTAAGCACAAACCCCCATGCAATGTGTACTACGCACCTGTGTATGCAATATAAATATGCACACATGCACATCATTAAAAGATTATTTAATTAGAAATCTTTCTCCTTTAATACAGCCACGTTGGGTCCCAAATCTCACCTCTCTGATGCTCTACAGATTTCTGAAAACACAACATTTGTCTTTAATACAAGAAAAAACTTAAGTCCCAGGCAGCACTGCTCGGTATGGGGCACACCTGGCAGCACAGCCCACCCGAGGCTGGTCCCAGGGAGCTCAGCACCTTCCCCATCACCAGCCAGGAGGGACCACTGCTCCACCAGGCCCCACTCCACCTCCTCACACCATGTCTACGTGCTACCAGCAGGGAGGAGGGAACAGAATCAACTGGAAAAGAAACAGTAGCTGTAGGAGGGACAAATTGGGAGTTCAAGATGCTGAAGAGAGGAGGCAGCATCAGGCTCCCTTCCCCGAGAAGGGCTTTCCATTGTTGTCCCACTCTCTGTGCCCACCACTCCTCCAGCCTCACAACCCTGCCACAGGTACAAGCCACCCTCAGCTGTGAACACTTTTCCTCCCCCACCATGGCAATAATGCTCCCAAGCCTTTCATCACACTCTCCTCCCCGCTCTCTCTCTGAAAGCCACAGCCAGGAGAGAGATCAGCTAGATAAAACCTTAGACCAGTGCAAATGTGAAATACAAGGTAAAAAAAAAATAAAACAAAATCTTTTGCTATTACTGGACATGCTGCAGACATTGTGCCTAGTAACTGTGGCAATATCTAGCGCAAAAGAAACTTAGCATGAATCTTTTGTTTTTAAATGACATTCAACTCAAACATGCATAGGGAGAGTAAAGTTATTTTATTAAATCATGCACATCACGTGTGTTAGTGCAAATAGTTTAATCTGTACTCCAGAAATTCTATTGTATTTTTATATCTTTACAAAATAGATTTAAAACAATTATTTACTTTAAAAAATGTAATTCTGAAGTTAAGCATTTCAGAACAATATTTGCAATAACCTATATACAAGAGGTACTAAGTACCACTGGCATACGAGTGTTCTGTGGTTGGATGGCTTCCTGCAACTGAAAAGGATGAAATGAATGAACTAAATGACAATATTTATATTCTACAAGTCACTTGTGGACTATTTTTTTCCAACTAATAATCCTCCCATTAGCAAATCCCACGTAATTTAAGATAGAACCTTTAATTAAAGGACAATGACCCTTAAAACCTCACAAAGTAAATTATATGCTAAATTTCTATTTAAATATTTAAACTATCTGTCGATTGCCATAACATTTTTAAAGCCAATTCAATTGCTGAGATTACCTCCCTATTTTGAAGTTTCCTTTAGCAGAGCCATTTTACTTTACCATTCTTTAGCATATTATTTAAGTCTTTAATAAACTTTTTTGACAGAACTGTTGAGCTGAACAAGACAACTACAGTCTACATTTAATTCAGCACTAACTACAGTGATTCCCACCAAAAGTCAGCAAATAGCAATAGTTATAGTACTTAGATAAGGAAAATAAACTTTGTAATGGGGACCACTGCATCATACTTACAGCCATGTGATGAGGATGCACAAAATTTTACTACCGAATTGAAATCATCTTGACCTGACAATACATCATCAGGTATATGATTCCAATTTTGTAGTATTTTATGTACCTTAGATTTTTTTCAGCTAATCACAGATGTACTGTAGCAGTTCTCTTAACAAAGTTACGTCAACAAAAGCTTATCTAAAGAGCTTCTCCAGCTCAAGTCAGAAAGTATCAAATGACTGAAAAAATAAATTGATACATGTGGTATGTGAGAAAGTATTCATACTTTTAAAGAACGCGTCTCTTTAAATATATGAAATTCAATAAATTACATTCAAACTAAAGTTAACGTAAGTTGTATCACTGCACTATGTCCATCAAATGACCAAGTACTTGCTCCCAGAAACCCCTTAGTTCACTCAAAAACACACACATGCTTACACTCGCACACGCGCACACTAAATACTCTAGGCTGGTCTTCACCATCGGTATCTCTGTCTCTTTAAGGCTGGACATGAATTGTGTTTATTTCCAAAAATCATTATAAAGCAATCCTTATCAAAGAAAAATACGCTTCCTTCAAAAGGCATGGTAAGAGAAGTTTTTGTAAGTCTTGTTCCCAACAGCTCAGTGACTAACAGCAAGTAAAATAGTATACTAAGTGGTTGTTTTTTTTTTTTTTAAAAAAAAAAAAACAAAGCAAAACAAAATTGTACTGAAAGGCACTGAGCACACTGCATGTGTTTTCCAAGTATCTGCAAGGTTACTTGGCTTGGGTGTCCAAATCAGAAATGTGTTTTTCCTTTTAAATCTGGCAATCAGATTCTAAAGTAAGTGTCCACAACCCTAGCCATTATAAATAATTTGGTACCAAGAAGCCTACTTTAGGCCACCATTATAGTATTCAGAATCCCAACATACTAATTTATAACTTGCATGAAATTGTAAGCAAAAATATTGCTCACAGTATGATGAATCACAATTTTATTCCCTCTTTATAGACAGATACATTTTATACAGTTTAAAGCAAATGACCCTACTGCTGTTCTCACGCAGAGCTGTGCTGTATTAAGAGGTAAAAAGGAAGAGAATTAATCTGTTTTCCCTCAGTATATGAATGTTGCCAGCTTCTAAAGGGAGGACGGTGTATGGATTCAACAACAGTTCTCATGGAGAAGCTCTGGTTAGGCCTGGGTACAGCACCACGGCTGTTACAGCAACCAAAGCTGCCATCACAGGCATCCAAGGCCATTGTCTCTGTGTGGAGAGAAAAAAAAAATCAATATCATATTTGTTCTAATTCATACTAACCAGTTTACCCCGTGGTTCCTGAAAGTCCTGAGGACCTGTTGATAGGCATCACTAAAACGTTACCCATGAGCCCTGCTGCAGGCTGGCCCTGACTTAGAGCATCACAGTAACCCGTGTTTCTCTAGCAAAGGGAACTCCACGACTCTTCATGACTGAGGATCATCAGGAGAACCTTTGGCAGTTCTGTATTTCCAGCCTCATTACTGTACGCACCTCAAAGGAATCTGCTATTAGAGTGTGAGGGCTTGAGATGTTTGAAACATCGCTTGTGCCAAGTAATCGCTAGACACAGGTTTATGCAGTACTGACATCTTTAACTGAGCTTTTTCAATCTTAAAATCCAGATCTATGAAGTTAGTTTGTAGCAGATCCTAACAACATCATTTCAAACCGATTGTCACAACATTTCATGACAAGAACAGCATTTTAAGAGGAGGACACACTGAGAGACGTTAGAGAAAATGCAAGCTGAGAGTTCAGAATACAAACCAACCACCTATTTCTCATCTTGTCTCTTTTTCCATCTTCTTCATAGCAATAGTGAGAAAAATTAAAGTGTTTAGAGCCAGAGAGGAATTTCTTAGTCCATAAATAGGAACCAAAGCTTGTTGATTTTTATTAAGAGGCAAACTCTTCATTTTTCATAGTTAATTAAGCAATTAAGCTTTCTTACAGGCCCTAGCATCGCAGCATTGTGCAAAAGGTAGCCCATTTGCTCAAGACAAACTGAGACTGAGTTAGAGGAGGCACATTCAGAACGAGTTAGAACAAAATTCATTGTTAGAATTAAGGAAATCACACAGATGTTAAATGATTAGTTGATTGCTCAGCTCGTCAGTATCAACAAGGATGGCATATTAAATGAAGGGTTTGCTTAAGGTAAAAAAAAATACCTGTGAGCATTTCACCATGCACTATTTTATACAGAAATGGCACAAACAGGTGAGAGGGACAAACATACATTGACTGAACAGTAGTGCTTGTACCTTTCGCTACCACAATGGGCCGTAACACCAATACAGGAAAGCCAGGATTAGGCCGATGAATACGGCTGGGACGGGTTGTAATATGGAAGGCTAAAGAAGGGAAGGGATATTAAAAATCACTTTGTGCTATAAATCAATCAGGTAAAGATGATTTAGAGAGGGGGAAATAAGTCAGTGAGTTTTGTTTTAATTGAAATGTATTAAAGACATCTAACACAATACAGCATGATCTAATCTGGTATACAAAGTTAGTACACCATTCTACTCAAATGAACAGGGATGTTTAAAAATAAAGGGAAGTAAGCAGAAAATGTTCTAAGAAACCTCTTGCAACAACTTGGAATTTAGCACTTAAAAACAATACAAATCTTAAACCGATTTGTCTGTATCTTATTCATAGTTGGTTTTAGGTTTTTTTACATGACAGGAAATCCCATCTGGATTTCTTAAGGCAGAAAGACTCACACCAGATATTGAATTTTTCAGCTACTTCTTCATTCCTTGCAAGTTAACCCTTCCCATTTTCCATCACCAGCCTCCACAAAAAACAATCTTTTTCTTCCAGTAGTGAATCAATTACAACTATGTCTCCACAGGCAAACCCTGCAGTTCAGACATTTCCGTGAGATTGTAACATGACTGTACAATCAACACTAAGTTACTTGACAGCAGGGAAGTACATTTCTATTAGAGACACCAAGAAAATCAGCATCTCTGGCAGGACATCAGCCTTGTGACCAAATGCAATTCTGAAAAATCGATCAAGTGCTGCAGCTGGGCCAAACTACCAGCTGGCAGGATTGCAGGGTTCATTTAGCTTATGGCCTCGTTAGAACCAGCTACACATTTTCTCAGCTACATTCAATTAACTGTAAACTAATTTACTTCACATTCTGGATGGACAGCTTCTATCTTCAAGATGATAAATTAAAAGCAAAAAAGGACCCAATTTATTTTTAAGCTGTCCTTGGAAGACATCTGCTTTCTCTGTATCCCAGCCTATATATTCGTGCACACACACAGACACACAGAGGTTAAGTTCAAACCATGCTAAATATTTTCTTAAATTTTTTTCTTTTGTGCTGAAGTCACTTTGATTTAGTTCAGTCAAATAAAGAAATAATAAATTCATGTTTGAAGACTTTCTAAAACATTGTGATTCATAAATAAAAACTCATCCTGTTATGAATTTGTACAAGTCAATCATAGAACCTCCAATACGGTTCAAAACAGGAATCTTAGAAAGTATTCTAGTCTCTGCCATTCGATTAAAATTTGTTTTAATCAAGGCAAATATTTGATAGACGAATTATGTGCAACTATTACAGTAATTTTCATGCAGGATTATTTTTGTGTCATTGGTGCCACAAATCAGAGTGCCACCTTCCCACAGAGAGCACGTTGGTAGAAATAATCACAGCAGTGTTCAAAAAAAGTGCCAGAAGTTCAAGTCAACCAGCGCAGATAATGTTCTCAAACCATTCACATGAACAAATCTGTCATATAAAGCGCATCAGGAAATAATCAGTGACTGTAAGCATGCAAGCACAAGTAGTACGCCACACTGCTAAGCGTTTCAGAACACAACACTTTTTTTTTTAAAGTAAAACTTAAGTATAAAACCTAAATATTTAAATGATATCCCAAATGGAGTACAGAGGCCCTGTCTTTTCTATCAATTGATAGTCCACTGAACAATTCTATAGAAATTTTTTTAAATTCTTTTTTAATTTTTTTATTTTTGAAGTTATATGCATTCAAGGCCGTGGTATCTTGGCAAATGAAACAGATGATAAAATGAAATTGCCTCCCAACGATTACATTTTCCCCTTCATAAACGTATTTCCTTATTGTTGAGGAGCATTTAAGTAGGTGCTTCATCAAAAACATGTATTCTTATATTAGAATATGAAGATATGTGAACTCAGATACTTATGGGCTGCAAAAACGAACAAGCTCCACAGTGGGAAGTCACCTTCTGTGGCACATTGTCCTTGGAAATGAAGTAGCAGGTAATGATTCAAGCATAAGGGGACAACGGTACTTGAAAAATTTGACCTTGGAACTCAGCCCAGTATCCATGACACTTCACATAGTCCATAAGATAGGTATGTTTTACATTACTTATTGTGAGTAAGGCTTGCTTGAACAGCAAGTTTGTCCTGCAGGTCCTTATATACTTGGATGCTCTTCACCATACTCTGACCCCCAGGTTTCAACTGTCATAACTAAATCCTCCTCTGGAAGCAGATTTTGGCAGCTGATGTGGCTCCTGATTTTATATAAATACTCACCTCAAATTCTTCCTAAAATTTCCCTTACCTTGCAAGTTTTTCCACTTTCATCAGGTGCTCCAATTCCCTTCACAGTATTTCTTCCCTCTACTATCCCCCTTTTTCCACTGATCATTTAATCCTGAGGTTAATGTTTTTAACAGAGCAGAAAATCTCACATTCACAGTTATTTATTCAGTGTGACCTGTTCTACTAGAACGGGAGGTTTTTGGCTTTTTTTGTTTTCTGCCTACTTTAGTAACTCAATATTAGCTGAGCATTGCAGACGAAATCTAAGCAGGAAGCAGGTTCCCCAAGAATTATAGCATCATATTCCCAAAAATATGGCTGAAAGAAGTGAGAAGGGCTTTGAAATCTTTATATCTTTGACAGGTCTACTATGTTAGACGTTTACATCCAGTGATTGACTATGTCAAGAGTAATCCCATGAGCTTTGGGCATCTAGCAGCCAGCTGATTTTTGAGGATGGTATCAGTAAAACTTGCTCCATAGTCAGAGAAACAGTTTTCTAAAAGGCTGTTACAGAGCATCCATTATCCTCCTGGTTTGTATTGTCCACTACAGGAGTTGTTCACCCTGCTCTGACCATAGAGGTGGTCCAGGAAGACAATAAACCAGCTATCCCAGTGTAGTAAGGTATCTGAAGTAAGGCCGTGACCACCTTATAACGTGTCTGCCACACCTCCATCATTTGGAAAATTTCAGAAGTCTCAGTATAAAATGTTGTCCCTAGCTGTAAACTCAATTCTAATGATACAACCTCTCCAACTAATTGCAACAGAAAAGATATTTTCATTAGTGAATAGAAAGGACAGTTCAACTGTACTGTTTAAAGCATGAGCCGACCAGGGATAACCATTGTTAAGAAGCATGAGCAAAAGTAAGAAGGGAACATCCGTTGTAATAAACACTAATAAAAGCATCTCGAAAAAGGTTGCTTAATCCATTCAGAGCTGGGTTTCTCAGCTTTTACCCAGGTATCATTCTCTGAAATTAAAAAGTTTTGCTTAGTTCTGGTTCACTAACTAGTATTTAAGCCAGATGTTTTCAAGAGAGCAGATATCTAAGGCTGTAGTTAAAACTGTCACACAGCTGGGAATTTAACTTGCATGCATAATTTTAACACTATAATGACTGTAAATATGTACAGGTAGTACCAGAATGGAATTTTGCATATAATATGGTAAACTACCCTTTTTTTGTCCTTTTTTTTTTTTTTTTGAAGTCTGTCCTTTTCTATTTGACTCTTACATATTCCCTCAATCAACAGACTTGCCAGTGTCATAACTCCAATTCCCCAAATATTTTGTACAGACTTACATTGTTTCCTTTTTCTTGTAGCAGCTTCAGGTTTTCTTTACATTGTTTGAGTTCTTCTGTGAGTGACTGATTTTCTTGTTCAGCCACCTCATACTTCGCCTTCAGCTCCGAGAGCAGAGTCTGTGTTCTTTCATACTAAAAGACAAAGAGAAAACAGTCTGCAGATCCCTGGATACCCAACAAATGCTTACATTTGCTTAGTGTGCAGCTTCCTTCCCTGTCATCTGCCTAGAGCAACTCGCCTTGGATCAGTGCACTCTGTTTTCATAAAAGGAGGGTAGAAAAATCTTACTTGAGATTTTCTTTTTTTTCTAAATTAAGATTTTGTCCCTGACTTTGAGTGGCTGGGATCACTAAAAACAAGAAGTATGAAGTAAGTGCAAGGCCTTAATTCATCTCTCCTACCAGACAAATACTCATTAGCATATTGGAAAGGACTGCAAAAACTATGAAGACAAAACAAAAAACAGGGGAACAAGGAGCACCTTACATTTAAATAGTAGTCTTATAACTAGCTCTAGCTACCTACACCAATCAAAAAGGTGCAAAAATCAACATTCTGTATGAATTAAATCAAACCCTCTTCCCCCACAGCACTCAAACATAAGAGTAAGAAAAGCATTTTAAAAAAATATTACTGCTTATTACTATCATGCCATAATCCTCAGGGGGTCACATACAAACAATACTGCATTAATGTGCCCCATATTCCTACAGTGCAGGCAGTTTCTCCTTTTTTAACTCACATTCAGTTTTTTTCTGTAGATCATAAGCTTTCTAGTAGTCCTTATGACAGGGATTAATAAGGACAGAACCAATGACCTTCAGTACTAGCATTTACCACAAATTTAAAAGACGAGGCATCTTTACAAATGTGTTTTATTATAACAACACAGCCTCGCAAGAGTGGGTTTTTCAAGTTCTGAAAGAGGTAAGGAACATAAAATGGATGAACTAATGACAAAGCAAGGCAAAGGACTGCAAAAGGAACTAAAGCAGTGATGACTGGGGAAAATTTCACTCAAAATGCTCATAAGAGAAAGCAAGTCATGGTTGAAGGTTATGGCCTTCTTCCAGACATCTTCTTTAAAGGGCAGGCAGATGAAACATATGCTCAAAATGCTAGTGTGCCTTCTCTAGTTGCTAATCATCTCCAGCAGCCTAGAGATCCAGTAAGATTAAAGGAGACCTTTGTAAAGAATGTGCAGCCCCATTGTCAAATAAGAGCTAAAAGCTAACTAGGAAGATCATACTGACTAAAAAGAATTAATTTTTACTCATAAAAGCTAATGAAACTCTATACCACGATGTTCAGGAAGACTCTGAATAAGGATTTACCTCTCTGAACAGCTTAAAATAAAATTCACTATGGCAATGTATGAAAGTAAACTTTAGGAAGTTCCCAAAACACTTACACATAATTTTATCTGAAATCTTCCCTTTTTGATTTAGTGCCCAGTTTATCTATAATTAGCTACCATAAAAGTACTTGCAATAAAAGTATGAAAAACTTTTATTTCTAGAAATCTTACATTTTTCCTTTAGCTTAAAAGTCAACATCATTGGGCATTATATTCTCTCTCAAAACAGAAATAAAGTTTCACGTTACCTCTTTCTGAACATCTTTTGCTTGAGTCTCAGCTTCACTGAGTTGGCTTTTCAGACTAGCTGCATCCCGTTGATGCTTTTCTCTCAAAGAACCCATCTGATTTTCAAGTTCCTTTCGAGACATTTCAAGAACACTTATATCGCTGGTTAGCGCTAAACTCTGCTTCTGAGAGCTGAAAAACAAAATCCAATTGATTCCTCATGTGTTTTAAATATAAAGAAACAAGACATTTTTTTAAAGCACTTCCCATCCTCCAAAGCTTCACACACTATTTTCATTTAATATGGAAATAACAGCTTAGAGTAATCGTAGAAGCACAATTCACTGTTGTCTCCCTATAAAAAGTATGGACACAGAAGGCTGGCTCTAGTCTTGCTTTTAAATATATATGCACAGCTTTGTGTGTATAATTAATTATAAGATATAATTTAAATTATTTCTAATTCATAATTTTTAGTTTATTTTCTTTTTTATTACTCACTAAATATGTATTATACACATATGTTATGAAACAGATTTGCAATGAGAAGTCTGTCCAAGGCTGTCAGAAGTATTTTATTTATTTACACACACTCTTCTTTGCTTACTCCAGCTATATAAGCTAATAGCTAGTATATTCTTCAAGTATTTAGTACAATTGTGTAACAGTCACAGAAAGCTCTAATTAAGCCATTAAAAACTTCAGTGCAATAACCAAGTAGTGTTAATTCATGCCTGTGCAAGGCAGAAAGAAAAATAAGGGACAGTCCTTGTATATCCCCATTATGCAAATCCTTACCTAGAAAGCTCCTTCTCTTGTCGTTGAAGCTCAGATGTAAGCGAAGTATTCTCCTTCCTTAGTGTAACACATTCAGCTTCCAGAGCACTCCATTCTGCCTTCAACTTTTCAAGTTCACCTTCAATGAATAAAATTTAATTGAATCGAGTGAAATTATTTCATGACTGCTTCAAGTATCACTAGCTCATAAATGGGGGAAAAGCTGGGATCAGTCATAAATCAAGAATATATTTGATTATAATCCGTCACATGAATTCTCTAACAAGCACCTATAAAACATTACCACATCTTCTACTGTTATGAGGTTTGTGAGCCATTAAACAAGCTAATGCTTTTTTTTTTTTAATGCAAGCTTTTTCTAAGGCACAAAGGAGCAGAAAACAGTCTGTTTATGGGTCTACTCTAGAATTTGAGAATCCGTGACAGAAAAGCGTATTTGAAGAAAATAATTTCCCAGAATTGAAAATAGCAGATCACTAGATACCATATCTCTGCTACAAGGAACAAAATGTTTAAAGCAATAACTAAAGGGTAAAAAATGAGATCTTTGAAATAAATCAGTCCCTGGTAAAACAAATAAAAATCAATGTTACATAGGTCTTAGCAATACAATGACAGAGACTGGAGCCTGCACTGAAAAAAGGCTTCTCTAGCAACTTCACAAAGATTACCCAATTCAGAATTTAAAGCATATTTTACATGTGCCAGTTGCTCTGTGGCATGCACAAAGTTTCAGTATGAGCTTTTGAACTCTATTAGCAGATCCTCCAAGGCCTGAAGCTATATGCCTGGAGCAGGGCTCTCAAGCAGCTCTCCTGAGATGTGAGTGCATTATAGGAAAAGGGAAATTCAAATGACTGAGCCCAGCAGCAGCCTGATGCTGGCTCAGCACCAACATATATGTGTATCTCTACATCATGTGTTCAGAATAAAACTTTAATTTTAAATTTATTTTAATGTTTTTATGTTAAAAATGAGATAGTATCAACAGTTTTTTTAAGCCACAAAATACAGTTACTTGTCTTGAGCGAAGACACCCATTTACTGGTTTAAATTATACAGAAGTTACACAAATCCTTTTGGAAATCTGTGGCAGTCCCTCAAACATTACACATTTTCCATCTTTTCTAAGTGGAACTATACTTGTTCTACTTTTAATATCAAAGGGTACCTAAACTAATTTAGGCATATTCGACAATTACTATTTAAGGTTACATACAAAACAGCTTTTGTAACACTACAAGCCTTGATACACATATACAAATGCACACGTGTGTGTATATATATACACACAGAATAAATCTCTGCAGAGAGACAGACAGACAAACGGTGATTTGAATAATTGACATTCATCAGGTTGAAAAGGATGCTACTGTTAGCACTGGTCTGTGACATCCTTTTAATCAAGCACCTTTTAAGCGAGTAGCCTCTTCCTTCTGCTGATCCTCACACTGCTGACACCTCAGCTGAAAGCTGGCCTGCAGGCTGACAATTTCTTTTTCATAATCTGAGGCATCTTTCCGCCACCGTTCGAGTTCCGCTCGCACTGTTTGCAGCTCACGTTGCAACGCAGAAATATCTGTATCTCGTTCTGATGCTGTCTTTTCTGCTACTTGTTGAAGTGACAGAATCTCATTTTGAGCACTGACTAGTTCATTTCGAGTGCTTGAAATTTCATTCTCCTTCTCCTCCCGAAGATTCTCAATATCTTCTTGTAATCTTCGCAACTGAGCTGGAAAGCATACAGTAATGTTAGCATTTCTTAAAACTGGATTTGCAGGAAACCTAAAAAACATAACTCCCTTTCTCATCTTGCTGACGTTTAATAGGACTAAAGAATCCTAATGCAATTCAAAATATATTAATTTTATCAAATGCTGTACCCTTCAAGAGACATGTATGTGGGGTCATGTATTACAGAGAGTCGAAGGAAGTAAGAATTACAAAACTTTCTTAGACAGGGTTGTGTTATGTGTTCGATACTAAAGCAACTCTCCAAAATCTGAAACCAAAATTTAGATCCAGCTTCACTGTAAGCAAAACAAGTATTACAGAACAAGGACACTGGGGTTTGGAGACAAGATGAAAAGCAAGAAACCTTCTCTGACAAGCCAAACAGTTGGCAAAGTTACATTGGATACGTTTGCCTCTTCAGCAGTTAACTTGTGATGCCTATAAATATTTGGGCGCAGAGTCTAACTTCTACTGCAGTCTCAACATGTAGTAAATAAAAATTACTTCTTTGCAAAAAAGCATTTTTCAAAGTGCAAGATTAATTTTGAATTGAAAGGGACAGCTGCACGTGAATATACTGAATGTAAGTCATCCTTCAGCATTTACAGTTTACTGTAAATGTGCAGCAGTCACATACACAGTAGGTTATTTTACATTGCTGTATGAAGCAAACCTTATAAATTATTCCCCCCATTCAAAACTGTTTCATTACTAAACACATTTCTTCTCTGAGCACAACTATTTTTCATAAACAAGTATGTCAATAGAATTCAGTGCAAACAGCTGGAAAAAAAAAGTTGTTTTTTTTTTTTTTACAGAGGAAAGGGAAGCATAAAAGAAATAAGAACAAAATTATAGTTAAAACCCTAACTGATGGAAGCAAAGTGCTTAATTTGCTCAGGGTTTTTGTTTGGCTTTTTAAAGAACACATATCAAAGTTCACATGTATTTCATTGATTTTTAACATGGGAAAAAGCAATTACTAGATTTATGAAGAATTGCTCTGAGAGGAAAAGTGCAAAGTTCTTAACATCACTTGAAAACCTAAGATAAGATACTGTAGACAGTCAGAATGACACGCTTGAAGTCCTATGTTTCAGAAGCAAAGGACAAAAAGGACAGTGGAAAGCATGGGGAAGATAACCAGGGCTGAGTAACCTTCATAGATGTCTTGTATTTATTTTTGTTCTCTCAACCTGTTATAGAAGTTGACACGGAGAATGCGAGTGAGTCGTGCCATAAACTGACATAGCACAAGAGCTACTCAAGAGAGACTTGCACTTTCCTGACAACTGCACTTGATGTTTTTCAGTAGCTGCATACACAGTAATATGGGTAGAATTCATATACAGGTACCATCTAGAAACTTTGCTGTTAGTTGATGCACAGTGAAGAAGAAAAATGCAACTTTTTCCCCCTTCTCTAAACAGGCTCCAGCAGGATAATCAGTTCACTAGATAAACTAAAGAACTTATCAATTACAATTCCACACTCTGGAAGGAAAAGACAGCGTGGGGAAAAAAAACTTGATAGTTATTATATACTGTAATACATTAGAGCTTTTATGGACAGCAGTAAGTTAGATTTCACAGCACTTCTGTGTAAGATGAAATGGCTTCTGTTCCACAACAAAGACATTTGCAGCATGATGGATTTTTAAATACGTGTGAGCAACATGAGGCTTACTGTCACCTCATTTGTTTGGAAATTGTTTATAGGGGCTTACACTAATAGAACAGCAAACAAAGAAGTAGATGAGAATAACTTGACAGTAATACAACACATTATACATGAACAATTGCCCTTTCATGTATCCTTAGATTAGAAGCCTTGAATTTACCAACCCCATATGCTGGGAAACCACGTATTTCTAAACCACCACAAATTATGACTGGCTAATGCAGCAATAAGCATAACCCATTAGTGAGCAAAGGAGTGACTTTTCCCTAACTGTACATTCCTGATATTAGTTTCTTTATGAAGCCAAGCTAAATTCCTGCTTCTCAGTAATAGCAGTATTTCAAAGAAATTTGCTTTTTTCCTTCTGTCTGCATTGTTGATGAACAACAACCCAAAACACATACGAGAGTTTCTGAAGTTTATGGGAGTTATAGAAATAACTTATACAGAAAAATTACTACCAAGAATGCTGGAATGGTTTCTGAAGCATTCCAGTGCTTCAGAATTCAGGGCAATTAGAAAGAAAACTTCCATTACATCTCTTACTTACATAAGACATAACCTCATCTAAAGTGAACACGTCACTTTTTTTTTTTTTAAAGTAATGACAAGGTACTTGAAATTCCTTGCTTTAACTATCTGTTCATCTAAAGAACTTCACATGTAAAGACAGGATCCCCATTGTTTCTGTGCACCTTCTCTATGGCAAACATAAAGCCGTGTGGCATTGGCTGGCCTAAAACATTGATTCCATCAAAATTCTTTAAGAAATGGTACTGCATGAAGCTGCCAGGACTTTTTTTCTCCACTACAGTTCATAGAGGCTGCCAAGAGAGAATCCTGACATCTTGACAACTTTTTCCAAGTTGTGAGATGTGTCACACCCTAAAAGTCTGAGAAGCAGCAAACATACAATGAACATCAGAACATTTTGAACTACCATAGAGAGAAAAGTGGAGGAATAGCTCCTTCTTTATTAGCTCTTACGATGCCAGAGAAACAGTCAAAGCCATATACTTTTCCTAAAAGAGCAGGGTGAAAAAAAAAATAATTCCTACCTTGCAGAACATTTATTTGCTTGTTAGATTCTTCAACTTGCACTCGATATGCTTTTCTCTCTTCTTCCAATAGCGCTATAAATGGAAGTGAAAATGTGTCCAAAAGTTTTTATTACTAAGAAGTATTTCAGCTGTGAAATTCATTTTAGTTACAACTTTTCCTTAACTGAAAAGATTAAAGCAATCATATTACTTCAGTAAGTTATCAAAGCTAGTAACTGTGTAAGTAGTTTAATAAAAAGTTAATATTAAGACATCATTCCATTATTGTGGTAGTATTACAATTAATTTGAAATTAATATAATCTGTTGCCTGATCCAAAAAGTCCATGTGTGCTAAATGCAAGCTGGTGTGGGAAAAGGAAAAAAAAAACCTGTAAATATACCCCATAAAGAACACTGAACAATATGCAATTAAACTATTTCCTGTCATAAACAACCTATGGTTTTCTGAGGATAATGATACAGCTACATATCTGATACGATGATCTAAACAAAGAACTACCACCGAATACATTACATTATGTGCATTATCTGACTGAAATACAAATTAATCAATATTTGCAGGTGAACATATTTTATAAGGATGAAATATACAGTGTTCACATACTCAATACTATGAAAAGGTTTTGGTTTATCTTGAACCAAAAAGTCGAAGTTCAATCACTTTAGGTAAAAAAGCAAAAGTTTCTGACATTCTGTGCAGAAGATGTGAATGTTACGAAATGTACTTAACAGACAGACAGCAAAACTAGACCCCCTTTTAAAACTACCTGATAAATACAATTTTAATGGGTACCCTACACAACCAAGTTGATCTGGGTCTCACCTTGAAGTTCAAAGCATTTTTGTTTACTTGTCCTAGCTAGCTCTTGGGCTTCAATCAGCTCCTTGTGCAGCTGCTGAATCTCTTGCTTAGCCTCAGTCTCTGATTGTGCACCCTGCAATTCATCTGATAAAAGAACATTTTCTTTAAATCATAAATTTGTACAACAGCTTAATTTGCACTGCCATGTGATGACTGGCAACTTTTTATTCAAATCATCTGAAGTTAGTTAAAGTAAACTCAAAATTGGGTTAGGTAAATATTAGCAAAAATATTAATATACTTCTAAAAGGAGGAAAACATATGCAAACTTTTAAAACGTTCATTATATATAACATGCAGTACGAAACAAAACCAAACAAGATTTAAAAACCCTGTAGAGATAGGCAAGGATTCCTGGATTCACAGAAATGAAGGACCAAGCGTAAGACAATCCTTATGTGTTTTGAAAAGGAAGCTGCTCTGACCCTCTCTCCTTGCACACACTTATCAGAACGTCCCCCCTTTGTCCCCTGCCTCCCAAGCACCCCCCATGCTGCAGGCACACCCCAACCCTGGCAGCACAGCAGCCCCCCAACAGCCCCAGCCTCCTGCTGGGCCGGGCAATGCCAGGCAGCCCCAACACATGATGCCCAGAGCTGCTATTTAGCGCTTTGCCACTGCCAACAGGCTTGGTACCACACACAGCTCGGCTTCCTCCTCGCCCTGTGGATTGTAACTAGAAGGAAAGGAAAATCTAGGGAAATTTTCTAAAAAAAAAAAATATTAAGAAAATGAAGAAACACAGCTCGGCTTCCTCCTCGCCCTGTGGACTGTAACTAGAAGGAAAGGAAAAATCTAGGGAAATTTTCTAAAACAAAATTAAGAAAATGAAGACAAGCCCACCCTCATTATTTCATTCAGTGGCCTAGTGAATACTAAGCTAAATTTTGCCCTTAAGGTTTTTTTTTCCTCTATGTTTTAAAATATTAGGTATATCTTTAATGTGAACAGAACTTATACATGTTATTTAAGCTCTAAATAAAAACATTTGCTCTTCCCCACAAGTTCTGTATTAACTAAAATGTGTATTAAATGTCCATTTGGCTTACTTGCAGTTACAGGCAAATTAAGCATTTTTAAAGCTGAAGTTTTGGGGGAATTTAAAAGAGGAAAAATAAATATTTGTAACTAATAGCAGTGTCCTCTAATGGGCACAACACTAGAAACTAGACGCAGTAACAACGAGGCAGACAACACTCCAGCCTGCAGGTATCTGCAATGCCAGGAACTGGATCCAGGAAACTCCCATTCACTAAATTTTCCTGAAGTACTGTCAGTGCAGAAACAGATCTTCCAATAGGCACAAGCAGCACTAATAAACTGTACTGGTAGAGGGCTAAGACTTTATATAAAGCCAGTTAGGTGAGAAAGGTAAAGGAGCAAAATCAAGGGAAAAAGTCCAGTTGTACATCATGGGAGAGGGAGAACAACAATGTAGACATGTTACACAGCCAGCTGGCTAATAAATGACTACCACTACAGACCGTATGGATTTAAGATGAAGGCACACTGCTTAGAGTAAAAAGCCCAAAAAATAAATTGGGTTGAATGTCTGGACCTTCCACGCATAAGAAAAAAAGAAAAAATAAATACAAGGTATAGCTTAGTTTGTCGTTACACTTTTAACATTGATATTTGACTGTATGTAGCCAACAAAATAACTATAAAATTTTTTTGCTGTTTTCTTCATTACAATAATTGTTTATCAAATCATGCTGAAGTATTCATACTGTATCTCTCTGAGAAAAGAGGCTTTTTTTCCTATTCTCACAGTAATGAATTGGTGGGATCGAGCAGAGACAAGGGCACACGTGCTTTTAGACGTTCTCAGAACAAAATTATGAGAGCAGAAAGAACAAAGAGGACTACATCTTTCACCCAAATACTTTCTTATTAGAATCCCAAATCCAAGTTTCCCTTTACTGAATATGTTTTGTTCGTAGTTTCTCATGGATAAAGACTTGGGGCAATTAGACTTTCAGCCCTCATTAATGAGGCTGTTTAAATGAAATGGACAAGGAAGTTGACAAATTATGCTGAAATCACGCCTGATAAACAAGCAGTGTCCCAAATCCAACAATAGACACCCCAAATGAACTTTCTGGTGGACAGTGTTTTCCAATCAATGACAGCACACATACATACACTGCTTCAAAGGAGATGAGGAACTCAACTTATGGGACAAGATAATCAGTTTAGCAAAGGCACAATCAAGGTAAAAACTCTTTCCTACTCAAATGCAATAAGGGAATTTCCATATGGCCGACATGCTTCTAAATCAAAAACCGAGAAATATCAGCACAAGAAAATACCAGCTTTTCAGTCTTACCTAAACGTAAAATTTCTTTAATGTCTTTTAGTTCAAAGTAAACAACATTTCTGTCCTAATGCTAGTTTTGAAAGAAATTACTTAGTAAGTAGGATTGCTCTATTTATAAACAATAAACTACTAAATATCATCAAGCTTAGAATTAGTTCCCTCAAGAAGCAAATTCACATCACAAAAACTTGATTTGAAAACCAATGTAAAAGGTTGCAATTAAATACATATTTGAGTGATTTACACAAGTATTCAACATTGGACTAAGTGTTCCCAGAGAACTCTAAATAATTTTATCATTAATTACAACATGGTGCCAAAAAAGTCAAATCCTCATTCATTTGTTCTAGCTCATGGAAAATTTTCATCTACGATCAGATTGTTTGCCATATTACAACAAAGGTTCTTAATTAACACCACTGTTCCAGATACACACTGAGATCTTCCTTAGCATCAACTCCACTGGTAGATTTAAAAATGTTAAAAAAAAAAAACCAAACCACGATCAGTACAAATCCTTTCCAAAGCACAAAAGCACATGAAAATTTCTTCTCCTTCAATCTGGCCCAAGAGAAGGAGTCTAACCCCTGGGTCAGTTTTGGGGAAAAATGACTTTTTCTAAATCATTAAAGAGTAGGATGGTGTGTGAAGGAACATATTGCAATTTTAGGATCTGTAACATAAAATTTCAATAAAACCAAAAGAAAAGCAAAGTTCAGACTAAATTAATATTTACAAACATGAAGATATTAACAAAGCTCTGCTTATATGTTTGCCTTTACACTTTGGTGTTGATATTGGAGAGACCACATAGGCTGCGGTCTGAACTGATCCCGTTTCTGTATGTCCTGACTGGTGAAAGCAGCTTTACGAGCAGGCTGGTATTTCTCCAAGTCATACAATAGTTCACTTTAAGAATCTTGCAGTATTCCTTGGGCTATTCAGATAACTATTTTCAGAGTACTCAGGTGAAGTCATATAAACAATTAAAACCCTGAGCATTCTTCAGCTTCATAAAATCCGCATAAATTGTATCATATATTTAAAATGAAGCATTTGGCTATTGCAGTATAAAACAACAGTTCCCAAGCTTTCTCAATCAAGATACCATTGCTGATTTTCAAAATTTCTTATTTCAAAACTACCATTATTTAGCCAACTGTCAACTGAAAACACTTTTTATTAAGATTCTACCGATCAGTCTCGAAACTACTATGAAAATAGAAGGAAGTTGATAAGAACGAGGTAATTAACCTTCCAGTGACATTCACCGCTTCTTTCCATCTGTTTAACATTTACCCGTTTTTAACATTGCAGTAAGTAGTCACTAACAGCCTCTCTAAACAGAAGCATCTAGGGAACTGTTACTAATGGCTAATAAAGTTGTCTACCTCATGGGGAGAAAAAAAAAAAAGGCAGTTCTACTAATCTGTAAGAGCTTTTCCCCTTCCCCTTTTTTCCAGATTCCAACTTGTAGAACCTTGAAACAAATCCTGAATGCACTCAAAGCTTACTGATGGAAAATACAGTTGGAGGAAACTACGGCAATTAAACGTCTCATCTTTTTCTTGTTCCTTTAATTTGTTTTCTAAATTCCAACAGTTAAACAAAAAGGAACGCTGCCTTTTCCAGCAGCCATTTCCGCATTCCAAACAGCTGCCAGATCAGAAATGTTCTCACTCTTCCTTAATTATATGACTGCATAACAAATCCACTTGAAAGTCTTTCTGTGGCAAACAAGATCCTTTTTAGGGCAAAGTCAGGCATATGAAGTAGCTCTGACAAAACCTCAAACAAAACCGTGGGTTTACAGAGTCCTCATAAATAGTATGAGGCAAATGATTCATTGCACAGATATTTTTTAATGGTTTCATGAGAGCAAAATAGGAATGCCCATAAATAGCCTCAAGAGAAAAAGAGTTATTCCAATTATTTTAGTTAATTACAAAAATGTAATTCAATAGCAAAGCGGCCTATGCAAATAGATATTTTTCTACTTATTAACTTAAAAGTTCAGTAATGGTTATGGTTTAAATCTTCAACGGGGTAAAGACAGCACATCCACAGGTAGATGAGCACACCCACATTGGCAAAAGACTGCTTCCACACTACTACAGAAAACCTGATTTAAGTCCTTTAAGAGTTCAATTAATCGTCCCTGGCAGTTTAATAAAACCTGGGCACAGAAAGTGTAACTCCACCAGGCCCTTGCCATGACATGAGGATCTCCTAATCCCAGAAGCAGCACGCTCACAGCAGCCTTAGCTCGGCCTTGGGCTGGTAAATGAACCTTTCTGACAGAACTTAGACTTCACTTGCATATAAGGAAAATGCAGGAATCGGTGGGTTTCAGCCTTTTAATACATCTGCAGAAGATAACTAAGAAATCAGCCAATTAGGAGTAGTCTTCAGTTGGCTATCTTAAAACTGTAAGAATTAGAATCAAAATAATTTTGACATAAACTCTCTGAAATCAGTTTCTCTGCTGTACTGTTCTCATACAAAGGGTTGTTCCGGCTGTAAATTCTGCGCAAGTGACAACACTCACAGGAAACAAACTCCATAATGTGTATCCCATTCTGCACCCTAAGTTCTGATACTTAATCAACACCTTGCTTTTCAACTGAATTTTTTTTTCAAATAAAACTTGCTACCAAACCCAAATTTAATACCAAAAATAAGACTATCATAATCACCACAAACAACATTACCAGATTCTAGCTCCTAACACAGGAAGTCACTGAATATACTTGTTATTAATTGCAGACATCAGAGCAAAATTCAAACGGAACACACTCAGTATCTCAACACTCCTTTTTAAAGTTCTTTGCTGAACTGATATCCACTGGAAAACATCAAAATACTTTCTAGTTTCACTGTTTGGAAACACGTAAAACACAATTTTTTTTAAGTCCTTCTGTCATAAAATTAGAGAATCTCAAACAATCACAGAAAAAAAGCTCTTTTACACATCTCCTAAATTTCATTGTGGTTTCTTGTCTTTCTGAGCAATGAAGAACTGTGACATTCTTTTACTTGTGATCCCAACATAAGCATCATTTTACAGATCTTATCAAATGTCTAATTGCACATAAAGCCTAAAAGTAACTTTCGGTATGCTAAATGCTACCAACTAATTAATATCCCATAAAATTTTTCAGCTCATGAATATGTAAACATTTGCTCACTGATCAAGTTTTAAGTACATGCTTTCAGCGCAGAGAGCAATAAAATAGTAATTTATAGGCATGAAGCTCAAAAGTAAGGCTCAGCAATCATTCTAAATACAGTTACAACAGCAAATTCAAATCTTGAGTGTTCTAAGTAAAAAATGATTTTTTTATTTTCTTTTTAGCCAATCAGGTGCAAACTAATAGAAGCATTTCTGACAAGCGATGGAAATGATACAAGTGAAAATCTGGCAATGCTTGAAACATGTCAGTGATGGAAGAATCCCTCCTCCCCAGAGCTATTAGCCCTAACTTAACTGTATGCTGAAACTGCTTCTCAACTCCAAAGTTATAGCATGTAAATTCCTAGAACAGTGTTGGTGAGGGCAGAAACTAACTTTAAGCATAAGTTATTTCTAAATTAACACTTAAAAGTGTTAACCCAAAGGAATCATTATTGATACTTAAATGCAACTCTACCATGATTAAAATAATTGAATATCAGCACCCTACTTTGATATACATTTGATAAAAAACCAGTAGACAAAAATATACATATATACAGGTTATGCATCTAACGTTAAAAAAATTTGTTTACCTTTTAGAAGAGCTACTTTAGCAATAGGTTCATTTAGATCTTGGTCATCCATTTGAGCATCTAAAAAAACCAAACCGCACATCCTTCAGTGAGCAGGTAGACTGCAGACAGTTTTCATACATGTATTCTTTAAGTGAAGAGAAACTTTTACCATTTTCTCCCTTTACAACAGTTAATTACGAAGTTGCAAAATAGACATAACTGCTCTAAGCTTGTATCCGGTTCTCAGCTCTTTTAGAAAATGCTTGTGATTAAGTGTTTTAATTCAAACTAATTAGATGTTACAGAAACCTCAGTTAAATGCTTACCTGTAGTGTCGTCACTGCTTTTTTCCTTGCTTGGACTAAGGGTGTCTGACAAATCAGATTCTTTGACTCTTGCTTGATTCTCTGTAAGAGACAAGGAAAATCAACTACAATAAGTAAATGCTTTGTTCAATCTCTTAATCATAATTTCTTCTACACAATTCTTTACTGAGAAATGTCAGATAATAATAGAAAACAATATAGTTGAAAAATACTTAAAAACCTGATGGCTGCTTATTCTTTGTCAGTCTGGGCTAAAATGGATTCAGCATCACTAATCTAGCCTACGATCTAATAGGGAATGCAACAGCCTCATGCACAGCTTGAACTTTTGTTAAAGCTGTATTCTTGCCAGTTGGAACTCTGTGCAAAAGCTGATTCAATCAGGGAACAAATAAGAAAAGAAAACTGGAACAATGCAGATACTGTAACGAGTCAGAAAGAAACTGCTGTTAAGAATAAAATTGTGCTTCAGTATTTTGGACAAATAAAATAATAGCAACAAGTCCTGTATATACTGTACTGTTAAAAAAAAAAAGCATGGTATGAACCAGTAAAGAATCACAGCAATATAAATTAATACACTAATTTCTAGAAAGAATCTTCAGTTACAATCTTATTAAAAGAAGGCAGCCTATGTCCTTTCCACCAAAAAATACCATCACAAAATATCTATACCACCACATTATTACATGCAGCTTAGTAAAACCACAGTTGTGGAGGTTTTTTTTTTTTTACCAGTTCTAGATTAGGGACCACACATTTTTAAAAGATGAGGGGAATAAATTATATTAGTGTATCCTTTTCCCACAGAGATGTATCCTTGACTCAGAGTCTAAATACTTAGTGATGCTGTAATTATTTAATTTTTTTTTAAATAACCATTACAGTTTAGTTCTGATGAGTCCATTAAACAAAGGCCCACAATCTCTGGTGTGGGCAAATCCAGTAAGTTTTTCATCAAGGAACCATGTCACCAACAAGCAGGTGAGGTTATATGTAAAGTCTTTCTTGGCTGACTATGCAGAGCATTGGTTTGACAGCATCACTGCCCACCCACAGACTAATAGAGGTTTCCTGCGTCTCTCAAGTTCCAGTTAGAGAGATATATATACAAAAAAGCATCATTACAACATTCCCAGTATACCGACTTTACTTCTACCACACATGCAGCAAAGCACAGAGAACACAAATAATTTCTTCACATACAGATACTGCAGATGCAACAAAAAGGAACCAGGATATAGGAAGAAAGATGCAGAGCAATAAATAAATCATGTTATACCAATGGGGTTAATATATGAAAATATGTAAAAAACAAAGGAGCAACAAGAAAGCTTGTGTGTGCTGTTTTTTCAAATAACAAAAGAACAAACAGAACTAAACACCCACAAAATGTGCACTCTGCACTTACACTGGGAAATTAGCAAGTGACAAAACACAGACAGGTTAATAGAAAATAAAAATGTTTTCTTCAGCTAACATGAAAAGTTTTCTATTTTTCTGTGCCAGAATAGCATCCACTTGTACATTAAACAGAAGAAGGCAAGTACAAACAAAGAAGCTGATCCGGAGCCAGAATTTTCCTATCTTAATGTAATTGAAATCACCGTAGAGGGAAAAGGGGAAAACACCCGTGTGCTTGAAGCACATTAGAGGTTCAAACCTGGTAGCTATTCCAAACATATCTCATATGACTTCAGCAGATTTCAAAGCTCGTAATGACTAGAGTCATTAAAAACTTGATGTTTGGGGGTGGTTCTTTGCTAAAACCAAAAGGGTACTTTACTATTTTTAGGAATAAGGTTTTAAACTAGTATCTAAAGATATTACAGAACAAAGCATTTTACATGTATCATATGGAATCAAGCTCACAAGACTGCCATTAAAACTGTAATAATTACTAAACCAAGTAATAAGTTCTTTTCAAAGTATTAAGAAAAGTATATCCTAAAAGCCTCACCCATGTCGTTTCTATTAGTGCCCGCTGCAGAAGCGCTAAGCTGAGCGATATCTGTATCCAACTAACTTTACCATATCTGGTCACACAGGGAAGCACAGCTTTCTTGCTCTGTGCGAAACAGCAGGGACAGTGCAAGTCCCAACCGCTGAATTAATTCTCTCTCTCCCCCCACC